TATTATAATGTTCTGTTCTGTTCCATTTCTTACTTGCTACAATACACAGTTTCTAAACAGTCACGATTTTTCTAAATTATTTCAAAGCCTACAAAATCCATTTCATTAATTCTCTAAAGAATTAAAACACAGTATTGGTCAAATAGGTTTCGCCTTACGCAATATCATGCCTATGTCTGCATTAAACGAAGTGAAATTTGTTCATTTGCTTGTTTTTACTACAGAAAGATTAATTAAATATAATTTTCGTTAAACAAATGTATACATGCATTAAATGTGTTAGTCGAAGTAAGTTTATTTTCCATTAAACTTATTTCTAAAGTAGCGACTAGATATGAGTAATAAAGTTGAAGCAGAAGTGCAACATAGTCTAAAACAGTGTTTTAAATTGTATCAAAACAGTCCTACAGGGTTCTTATTACAAATAAATCAATTAGCAATCATCGCATTACGCTATAAGGACACTTTGAAAAAATCGAAAGGAATCTGACAATGCTGTCAAGGGTGTTTTAGTTTTATATTTGCACCATCGTTCATGACTGTAGCGAGCGTTATCAAAAAGATCTCGAACAATGCACATTGAAATATGTTGCAAACAAAGCGAGTAGCATCCCTGTGTCAATATGTACACACCTGTCACGCCTCCCCACAGCAGGCCAGAGGTTTAACGCAATTCTTTGTCCCACAAGGCACAAGTCTTAAACCTTTGTTCGTAATTGGGCCGTTATCGAAGGTTTGCTGAACCTTCCAAGCCCCTTCGTCAGGCGACCGCATTACTTTTCCAAGAATTGTTGACAAATGGCAATGCACATGATGATGAATTTGACTAGGCCTGCCGTGCAACTGTGTCCACCTCTCAATGGTATTTATTATTTATTATATTTTTATACGCCTTACAATGTCTGTAGTTTCAAAGGTTGTATGAGAAGTGAAAAGTTTTTCATAATTGTAGTAGATTGAAGTTGAAAATAAAAATAACTTTTTGGCACTACGTTGTCAACCAAGTGAAAGGAACAAGGAATTTCTTTCGCTGGAACAAAGTCACACTTTATTATATTATACCGTCGTATATATTATGCGACTTTGACTTTATGACACTGCCGAAATCCTCTTCTATCCTCCAAGCCCATTCAAAAGAATTTGTATAATTTTCTAATTTATTTATAAAACTTCCACACAAGATATATTCTACTGATTGTTTACCTGGCAGGCATTCTCTACGAGGTAACAACTTAAAGGATGGTGTTGAATAAAATGAGAAAGAAATGAGGAAAATAAAAACCTGAACAAGTTATTAAGGTAAGGTTACTTGTCAAAATGACCCAAGTATTTCCTTTACTTCTCATCAAGTAAATCTGGAGTATCGGTTTTCTGACCATAAAGGATCTGGAACCGCAGAGACCATTCTTTATTTTACGGTGGTAGGGCCACGCAGCAGCCTTGGCTGTTGCACGAACGGACAGGCCCGTCCGGGTAAGTACCACGATCTCACAGAAGACCAGCGTAAAGTGGAAGTATGACAAATACTTTCGCGTTTCCTCTGGTGAGTGAGGTAGCCGGAGCTCATATTTCAAAAGGTTGTCAACGCATCTGTAACCCTCGCGTATGGCAGATGTCCATGGGCGGCGGTATTCACTTAACATCAGGTGAACCGTCTGCGCATTTAACAACTTTTCGCAAAAAAAATCATGAAGACTTTTCTGTAATTGGTTCTTCATGACTGCGAATAATTTTTTGAAGATATTGAACTGTCGTTGTCATGGGACCTATTTAAACATGTTTTGATGATAAATCAGACCATCAATAAACTAGAATACGCATTGAAATTCCTCACCCTTTTGTTCTGTGACCTAGTCCCTTAATTTATCTGCTGTTTGCGTTCCATTGTCATCATTGTTTACTTATTTATTTAGTGACCGATTATGTTGCCTGTTCGTCGGTGTTACGTTGCAGCAAGTGTGTCGAAGAAAGACGACCGTTGGTCCGAAGCTACAAGGGTACGTTTAAAATAGACACCGGGCAGTAATTTAACGTTGTTAGTCACAACTCCACCGATGACTCAGTGATGCTTTGGTTAAAATTAATGCGATCACGACCCGACCGTATGATGAGCGGTTCCATGAATAAATAACGTTTGTTAGTAATAGTAGTATCAATGTTTAATATCTTTTTTTTCGGTTTCCGTATGTATGATCTATTTTATTTCCATTGGAACATGCTACAAATTATTAATTTGCCTTTTCATTTTCTGTATGTATTATCTATTTCATTATATAAGCGCGAAGCCGTCTAAAGACTTAAAGCGTTTCTTCTAGATTGATGAGACGTTCTCATTATGAGACACTGACAGACAATCACGTTTCGTTTCGTCAAGTCGTTTTCGGCCAACAACATATGCACAGAACGCAACAATGGAATTTTCAAAGGATTTTCATCAACAATTTGAACTAGGGACCTGCGGCTTGGTGCCACGACAATGTAACCATTCCGTCAACAGTCGCCTAAACATTTCAAGGGAGCGTCAAACACGCGCGAGACGAGTACAATTTTAATCAAAACTTCAAGAAAGTCCACGCGCATAAAACCGGAGGACATTCGCGAAGTTTAGGGTCGGACCAGCTCGGAAATTCCCCGACCACAATTCACGAGCGTATTGGGGAATTTCTGGAGGCGTCCCGTCGTCGAGGGCTCGATTTCATTCCATTAAAAGACGAAGGGAATTTTAGTGCGGCTGTGTGTGGCGGAGCTACGTCTACGGATTTTGGGTCGGTGCGTCATAACGTGTAGCTTAGTTGACGGCGCTCGGCTATCGAGTCTAGGGTTCAGGATTTATTTTCCAGTGGAAAAGCTAATAGGAGTACTTCGCCGATGGAATACGTAAGTGACACTGAATTCTTTTATACATTCCATGTGAAGTTTTGTAATTTATACAAGCATAAGACTTGATTTTTTTTTCTTTTTAAAAAAAAAATGCCCTTAGTGTAGGATAAGACTTTCCGTGTTTTGATAAATTGATAAATTTCACTTAGACAAACACCCAGATCCGCAGCGATTACTGTGGGTCACACAAATCGTTGTACCGTGTGGGTATCGAACCCACGTCCTTCGGCACCGAAGCCAACTTACAGCTTACAGCCAACAGCGCCACGGAGTCATCAATTTACATCAGTCAGTATAGTCATCAAATCATATCAAATCATATCAAATAATTTGTTGGCAACGATTCTCTTCGAACTTCCTGAAGTCTCTCACTAGGCGTTGTGCACGTCGAGTTAAAACAAATTACACTAATTTAAAGGTCTGTGGTAGGGCCTCGCAACAGTCTTCAGTGTTGCAGGAATGGGCAGGTCCATACAGGTGAGTACCACGACGTCACAGAAGACTGGCGTGAAGTGAAGCGTTATACTTCTGCGTTTCGTCTGGTGAGTGAGGGCCCACTTTATTAAAAGGCGGCAACTTCACATCTTTTTTTATGTTAACGCTTTCAGTTGCGAGACTATTAAAGCTTCATTGAACGCAGAACCGGTGGGCTAGCTATCAGGTGGAGCCAGCTAGCTTGCCATCTTCACCACATAAAAAAAGAGTATTGTGATTCTTGTTTATTGTGTATTGTGATGTTGGGGAAGAAAGGTTCTCGAGTGGCAGCCTCGTACTGGCCATCGCAGTGTTGGACTACCCCTCACTAGATGGAGTTTCGACCTCTGCAAATGTGCGGGAAGTTGATGGATGCAGGTGGCTCAGGATTGTACTTCGTGGCAGTCTATGGGCGAGGCCTATGTTCAGCAGTGGACTGTTTGTGTCCACTGCTGAATATAGGCTGAAATGATGATGATGATGATTGTGATTCTGTGAAGATATGACGATAAATTATAATTATCATAAAATTTTCTACATGACTGAGTCACATTCACTCAACCGTGGCCGAGTGTAATTGAGTCGCAATGCCTTCCGTGTTTTGCGTCTCCCTTACTGGCAGTTAGTCATTCCAACTCGCCAGTGTGTAATTATAATAGTTCTGTAAAACGTTTCGTGTCACATCGATTGTCGTCCGTTGTTCTAACTCACACAGGGTGTTTCCTTTTCACCCCAAACGCGAACTTATGTCGTTTGTTTCATGATGTGTGTTTATTTAATTGGCACTTTGTGGTACTTTAAAGTTGTACTTATTTTGGCGCGTTTGGAAAAATTATGAGAGTGGACTTTTTACGATGCGCTCGAAAAGAGACATGACGCTTGGTGACCAATTTAGCCTTGGCAAGCGATAACAACTTTTTGACATTTACCAATAAGTTTAATTCAAAGTTATTTGAATAAACCGTTATCAATAGCTAAATGCATGTCTCTACGCTAAAGAAGTATAGCTTTTTACATTCGTACATAAGTAAACACACACTTTTTTGAATATATGTCTGAATAAACTCTATGTTTGTATGTGTACTTATTTGGCACGATAGCTTAAGCGGCTTGGCTTACATACTCGTCTCACTTATGAACAGGATATAAGCTTAATTTAATAAGGGTTTTTTATATGTTATCCGATACTTCCCGAAGGAAGGTAAACAGTAAAGAGTTTTAATTACGGTCTGTATGTTAGTTTTGGTACGCTCTGTAGCTAAACCGGCATGATGAATTTAGTATGTGAGGTGTTTAACATTCGTCTGGGAAAAGACAATCTTTATTGATCTAATATTTAAAAGATTAAATCTATCTAAAATTACATATTATCTAATAAATTAATTTACATTAATTATTTAATACATTCGTCTTAGTTATCAGAGTGAAATAAATTATAACATTTAATTTAAATGGTCCTAAAGCTGTCGGAATACAACTATTATTTAATGGTAATCCTTCTATGTCTGCCATAATAATATTATTTTTGAAGTTATACTTCTTTTGGCGCGTTTGGAAAAATTAATAGATTAAAATTTTTAAGTTAGCAAGCGAGCAGACATTTGGTGGATGGGAGTGAAGTATGATGGTAATAATATCTCTTTTCACGCGGACGCTAATTCAGTTTGATCAATTCTACTGCGTTTGAGCATTGCGAGACCGGTACCGTTTCCCGCCAAATTCGCACCGCCATTTTCAATTTCGAGACGGGCCCGTGACAGCCGATAGCGATTGGAGAGTGCGCGCTGGAAAAAAATGGCCGCCGAACGTTCGCTCTGCGGCAATAAGCCCCGTGAATCGGCGAAAATTGGCACTCGAAGCGCTTGACAGCGCTTCAGGTGTGCCGTTTTCGACTTGTTCCGCGCCCGATGAGCGCTTGTGCCCCGATTTTTGCCGTTCGCAGTTGAATTGTCCATCCGCGCGTCGCATTATTATTTCGCGTTTCGTCTGGCGAGTGAGGTGGGCGGGACTCACTTTTTTAATCTAGGCATTGCATCTGGAACCCGACATGCGTTGTAGATGTCCATGGGCGAAGGTAACCTTAATATCAGGTGAACATACTGCTTCTTTGCAACCAATATAAGAAAGAAAGAATTTGGTTGGCCTTTGGAAAAATCTTCCGTTTAAGAGTTTAGTCTTCCTGCTTTGGTCGTTCAATTAACATAAACTCACTGATGCTAATTACATTAATACTGGGAATAAATACTTTGCTGTTCAGATCGATTCATCAGATTGTCAAGTTCTGCCAGTTTGAGGTCGATCCTAAGAACCGTTGCGTGAATGATTGGCGATGGAAAATAATGTTAATTATGTTTTAGGTCGATTTTTTAACACAATCCCCTTAACGTAGGATAATAATAAACTGGGTTGTAAGAACGTTTTGCAAACGTAGGTAATTACAAACATAAATTGCACGTGGACTTCGGAAACAATTATCTGCGCGCCACACGAATTTTTATCCCGTGTGGGAATCGAACCCACGACCTACGGCGCCGAAGTCAATACCTCGGCCACTGATTCATCAATCATTTAATTTATTCTTTAAAAATTTATAATTTAATGTTAATACCATCTCAAAGCCGAACAAAATTTGGCTAACCCTCTGATCTCGCAGCTATACGCCCTCAATATAAATTGCATTTCTCACTATTTCCACACAGAGTACTCTATACAGAGGGGGGCACAGTCCAAAACGCGGCCCCACTGCAAAATGACGGACTTCACATATCTTCGAAATATTTGTTTTTGTTATCATTTCGAGAACATGTAAGTTTCCTCGCAATGTTTTCCTTCACCGCTAAGCACGTGATACGTCAGCACTGAAAATTAACAATTTCATGTGTTAGCACCGGGGATTGAAATCAGGTTGCTCGAATATATTAAACTAGCGACCCGCCCCGGCTTCGCACGAGTGCAATGTAATATACAAATAAACCTTCCTCTTGAATCACTCTACCTAGTAAAAAAAAAAACACATCAAGATCCGTTGCGTAGTTTTAAAGATCTAAGCATACATAGGGACAGACAGACAGCGGGACGACTTTGTTTTAAACTATGTAGTGATTAAAAGCTAGCACCCGTAAGTAGTGGCGATTCGCCAAATAACGTCGACGACCAAGCCCGGAGCAATAGCTGCTGTTAAACAAATCCGCAACTGAAAAAGATATGCGTAATTCATTTCGCAACTCGAATTAACATGTTTTCCAAAGCTTCGGCAACCTCTTCTTCGGTTTTGCGCGTTTGGCCGTGTGCCAATTTAATTAAACGCCGCCCGGTCCCATCAAACTGGATTAGTCATACGTCGACAATTATTGAGTATTTTTAAAAATGGACCGGTGTCTTTCACGATGGCGGTTTTCGCGCTCCGATACGCGTAAAGCTCGGATGGTGGAACACTAACGAGTGTTCTCCGAACAACGGATTTATTATGTGAAAAAGTAGGAAACGAACTGGCGGTTCACCTGATGTTAAGTGATAACCGCCATCCATTGACATTTGAAACACCCGTGGGGTTGCAGATGAGTTGCCACCTTTTAATTAAGTGGGCTACGGGTACCTCACTCATTAGACGAAACGTGGGTGAAACACTTCCGTTTCACGCCTTCTGTAGCCGTGGTACTTACACGGACGGACCTGCCCATTCTTGCAACAGCGAGGACTGTTATGGAGTCCTGCCGCGGTTAACAGTATTTCGGGCCGGGTAGGTTGTCTTATCATCATAATCATGATTTCAGGCTGTTAGAGTCCACTGCTGGACCCTCCCCCACAGACTACCACGCAGCACTATCCACCTACGTCCATTGACTTCCCGCACATTTGCTCAGGTCGTCACTCCATTTAGTCAGCAGTCCTACACTGCGATGGCCAGTACGAGGTTGCTTCTCAAGAACCTTTCTTCCCCATCGGTTATCGTTCCTACGAGTTATATGGCTATTTGTCTATATCAGTGTTACGGTTTAAAACACGGACAGGCTTACTTGGTTTGCTGTTAATTTTTCTATAACGTTTCTGGTTACAGATGTTGCATTTGTGATCTCTGGTAACTGGTAACTATATACACTGGACTGTATGTACCATAAAAAAAAAAAGTAAAGTAACACTGGACTGAGGGTATCAGGGCATAGTCCATGTACCATATTTTCGAAATATATATCTTTTTGTAGTCGAAAATAAAGCCTGAGGTTTCCTCAGTTTTCCTTCACCGAACTGAAAATAATTCGGATGTTTCGGAGATTTTAATTGTAACTAATGATTATCACGCGAGCTATATACGTTTTTGTAGTCGACTAAAGCCTGAGGCTTTAGTTTTCAAAGAACTGAAAATAATTCTGTGATGATTTTAATTGTAACTCTATTGAACGCACCCTGTGATGCTCTAGAACGCACCGAGCAGTGTATGTTGAATACTGAAATATATCGTTATCTACCGCATAGAATGGTACAAGTCACAGGTCCGAACTGGACGGCCAACTAAACAATTCCCGAGCGACCACCGCCGTTGGCAAGCGCGCAACGTTGCAACTTAAACGCAAATTGCACATGCCACCGTGCGATGCGTCGATGCAGCGAATTTGCAACGAACTCTGACGCAATAAAGTCCATCATTGCACACTTTAAGGTTTTTTAGCGGCAAACGCATCTTTGCGCGACGGGTTTTACTCGAAAGTGGGTGTGTTAATAGTTATTGTTAGTCCCGGAATTGTTATTGGGCATTTTTTTCGCGTCGAAAACGGCGAGCCGTTGTCGGTTGCGAATGAGTTTCGGCGAATTAAACAGCGCTAGCGAGCATTGCTCGAAATCACCTCGAATAACGTCCAACGGATAATGGTCACCGGTGGCGTATCGTACAAAATAATTTGACAATGTCTACTTCACTATAAAGCGACAAAGCACATTGCAATAATCCATAGCTGTTCATTTTTATGTGCAAATTTGGCAAGCGAGCAGACGGTTCAAAAACGACTATGTCAGTGATCTTTCAGTAAAGGTAACCATCTCCATACTGCGCGGCGTTTAAAAATTGTTGCGCTTTACATTATATGACATGTATAAGTGAATGAAACATATGATATAGAACATATGATACGGAAAGAGATAGCAGTCTACAGAGTTGCAATGTAATTACACTACATGCGCGGCCCTACCCACTGAGGAGGGCCTCAAGCCCGTGGGTTCTGGCTAGCCCACCGGTTCTGAGTTCGATGAAGCTTTAATAGTCTAAGGCCTGAAAGCGTAACATCAGTTATACAAAAAAAAAAATACGAAACAATTACACCAATTGGGGTAATTTGAGTGCCTCAGTTTCGGTGCGCTAATGTCATGTCTACCTCGTATTTGTATATAATATCATTGCCTGACGTTATTTCGTTAGCGCGCACATGGACGTCAGCAGCACCCGAGAGATTGCCGATGCGTTGACAACCTTTAAGACGATGGGCCCCGGCTACCTCATCCGACGAATCATGACCGTGGAGTAAGTTGAGCCTTGATATCTCATTGTCCGAGCGCTCGCTTTTAATTCAATATACTCGAGCAACCTGAGTTCAAATGTCGCAATCAATGAAATTTAAGTGCTGAAATGAAAACATCGTGTGGACACGTACGTATTTACGAAATAAAAACAAAATATGAATGCTTCAAATATATTATGTGAAGTCTGTCCATCCGCAGTGGGGTCGCGTGGTGGACTATGCCCTAAATCCATCTATACAGAGGTGGCCTTTTCCCAGAGTGGGTTGTATGTTACTTGGCTGTTACTTTAATTTTACTTTAAGCGATGCTACCACAGAGAACATTTCTGCATCACACTAAGGATTAGGTTATTATGCTAGAATACAAAAAGTATATAATATATACATACAATATTATTGTAACCTGAATATTTGTAGGGTGTGACTAGAGATAATGAAAACAAAAGCATTATGATTGAAGAGTTCCTTTCGAGCTCTAAGGCGACGTCATTTCTTTGTTTAGAAAATACTGCGCTGTGGAAATTTTTAGTTAAGGAGTTGTTATTTCGCTTCATCCTTTACTTTCTCGGCGGAGCAATGAGGTTACTAAAAGACGTTACCCTCAACTTCGCAACTACACTCTACCTTCGTTTCTTTGCAACGCCGTCTATATATCAACTTAGCTTCCACATCGTAAGCTGTACTAACCCGCCTCCCTTTACGAGTCGACGAAACGGCGACGAGACGACTATCATTTCAAATAATACGGTTGCGAGTTTATTTTTTGTCTCAATGTGATTTACAATTATCTCATTTGAAGAGCAATCTTCTTCGCTATCATTTATTGAAGCAAACTGTCGATATATTAAAAAAGTAAGGAATTAAAAATTCTTAATAATTTACGATTGATTAATTTGTGTATTATGTACATTAATCATTTATTACATATATTTTTTAAAACGAAATGTGTCTTTTTTTTTAAACTTCGTTCGACATAGAGAAGGTGTTGTACGACAAAACCCTTTGAGAAATAATAGATATATAGAGATTTAGCGGACCCAACAGATGCTCTGCACACACGTCTTAAGTCTGACAGCAACTAAATAATAAAAAGAAACTATGTTGCAGTGAAAACACAAAAAATACTCATCAATATCTGTCTAGCAGTTTAACGAGTAGTTCAGACACATACACCTGCATAGAAGAACTTAGGTTTCCTCATCTACATTCATAACCACTCACAACTTCTTTTCTCTTATCTCTTCTTCATATTTACACCCACAAGCTACACATTTACTTACAGGTACTTTTTTTACTATCTTCTTTTACCAGAAGTGTACATTTTATGAAGTGTAAATTATTCTTTCACTTCATTTTATTTCTTTTCTGTTAATACAATGATGTGTCCTATAATTTAAATATATATTAACTCCATATTCTGAAACTAGCAGACCGGGAGCCATTGA